GAGGTTTACTCAAACCTCTATGTAAGTTTGCTAACTTTATGTGATTAACATCATAATTTCTTCCATTAAACTAGCTTCTAAAGATGAATCAAGATCCAAAGTTTAAAAACCCTCTTCTAATTTTTGTTTATTCACCTATAATTTAGACCCTAATACAAGAAAATACACAATTACTTACCTTGACTAGCCTTTTACAATCTCTTTTCTTTCTCTTCCAATGGTGTAACCCTTCTTGCCCTACCCATCTCCCCCTTTTTCAATTCATTCTCAACTTTAAAATTAAAAATATTAAAATGTAGATAGCTTTAAATTTTTCGTATAAGACTAAATCATAATCATTAATTCTTTTGGTGGGTAAATTTTGACTTTCTCATCCATATTCCTATATGGGAAGGCACATGGTAACATCATGTTTCCACCAATGAAATAATTTTATTATTAATTTTTAATATTTATTTAGGTGGGTCCTTACAGCGCAGTGATTCAGACTAGGTTTCCGTCCAAGACACAAGTCATATGGTGTTCTTGAAACAGACTTAGATAGAACGCAATTCAAGTTGTACATTGCCGACTCTAATGTTAAACCCCAAAATGATAAAGGTAATGTAGCATATCTCATTATAGATCTGACCATGTCAAGTAAAATAATGTTCCTCTCTACCACTCCATTCTGTTGAGGCTAGTCAAGGGCGGATAACTGGTACAGTGGTAAATAATACCCTCATTTACCATATGGTCTTTGAAATATCCCCAGAAGTACTCACATACTTGATCATATCGAAGTTTTTTGATAAGTTTATCTAATCTTCGCTCCACCTCAGTCCAATGCTCTCGGAATAATACCAAAATCTTCAAATTTGTGTTGTATCAAGTAAATATATCCAAAACTTAAGTAATCTTGCTTTGATGTTCACAAGCGCATGCACATCAATGTGTACAAACCCCAATTGTTCTTTAAGTTTATATCATTTCGATGAGAAATCCCTTCAAATCATCTATCTTTCAATACAAGATTCACAAGTTGGTATAGGCTCCTCTGCCTTACAAGGTGATTAACCTTCTTTAACCAATCTTTAAATCCCATTTTGATTGATTATAACCCAATAATAGATGCCAAAGATACAATGAGTTCAGAGGAAACAACATTTCTCTTAACATTCAATATAAAAAAATGCAACATTTATCTGAACATCATGTGCATAATAAGAGCTAGGGTTAAAGTATATAAACTATCTTTCAATGCACCAGAAGCAATCGCACATCTATTCAACTTTATAGAAACAGTTTTACTAAAAGTAACAATAGTTTTTACAAACTAAAGATGAAACTGAAATAAGATTGCATCTGCCATATGGCACATAAAGACAGTCCTCTAATATTAAGCTCCTCCCACTCTTAAAATGCAGATGCACTACTCCTATTGATCTACCTACAATGTGCAAGTATATTTCCAATCATTGAGGCTTCTAGATTCCTGAAATCCTTGCAATAAATCACTTAATGTAAAATAACTTTTTTATAATTCACTTAGTGTAAAATAACTTTTTTGCCCCTTTTCTTGAATTAGGGCAATCGAGTGCTACGGACCTCTGACTGAGTTGAACTTAAGGTTTATCCTTAGATTTTTGGGTGCTCTGAGAATAATGGCAAGATTACGTTTATGATTTGACGGTCAAATTTGGTTGAAAACCAACCGGAGGGGTCAAGGAAAAATGAGGTGTCTACACCCCACACATTCCATCCATACCTGCTCTTTTTTAGCTAAGAGCAAACCCCTTCAGTCAATCTATCCACACAATTTTCACACTCACCCCATCTTGGGAACTAGTATTCACTCTCTGGTTTCTAGTCCTAAGACTTGTTCCTCATGGGCTTATACACTCCTCTTATCTTCATACCATAATGATCTCAGATTAAATCTCCAAGACATTTCATCATCGACCTTTTGCTCTGACAAACTTCCCATACCAACCTTTGGCTCTAATAAAGGTTGAACCCCCTGAGTCCACTAACAACTCTGATACAAGTAGGGGCGGAGCAAGAATTTTATTTCAGAGGGGGCAAAATGCACTTGTTGAAAAAAAAAAATGACAAATACAAAGTATAATTTTTTTAAATCAAAAGGCAAACAAGAAAAAAATTGTTGTAAAATAATATGCTAAATAAATACTGTAAAAAAAATATAGTTACAAATATAAGAATCAAAATACTAATTAATAATATTTTAATTATATACAATCACAAATGTCATCAATAAAAAGAAATAAGTCAAAAAAGAAATTTTTTGAAAAAGGAAACAAAAATTAGAAAAGAAAAAATATATGGTATACTTGAAGGAGGGATGTAACTTTTTTTTTCTTTTTTCAAAAGGAAAATAGAAGAATTTGAAAATTTTAAGGGGGGCACTATTTAAAATTACCATATATATATAAATATATCAAAAATATGTACCTATGTATAGTAGGTTGGAACAAGGTGAGGGGGGGCATGTGCCCCCCTCTCGGCCTTAATTGGCTCCGCCCCTAGATACAAGTTGTTCAGAATATTAACTCCCTCCAACTAGCTTTTGATACCAATTGTTGGGAATTAAATCTCCCTTTATTCAAGCACAGTAGAAGCATATCATCACAGAATCATCAAACTTGCATATATGGAGAGAAGAATATAACAATCAAGCACAACACAATATTTGATATAGTTCACCCAATCCTTTAGGGCGATGTCTACGGAGAGAAAAACTTTCACTATTATGAATCAAGAAAATAATATACAACTATAGAAACTGCCCAGCCTCCATTCTCTCACTCATCATCTTTTGGGGTTACATCTCTCCTTCGGTATTACATACACTTTATCATTTCTCCACAACACTCACCAAACCTTTTTTCTTCCCTACCTTTATCACTTAACTCCAAAGGCATATCCAATGGTAGGCCTTGGTGGGCTTGAGCCCACCCCAAAAAAAACAATTTTTTTTTTTTTTATTAGAGGTAGCCTAATCCCAAAAAATAAAATAAAATGTTTTAGTAGTATTACCCCTAGTTAGTTAATTCGCGTATGATACGCGAATTAAACGCATACGTACGAATTTTGGAAAAATATTTGCGTTTGCGATCAGAGTTGAAAGATACGGTAAAATACGCGTTTTTTTCCATCACTCCGTATCTAACGCGTTTATTCGTTTTGTTGCTCCGTTTAATTCGTAACCTAATTTTTTTTTTTTTTTTTTCGTTCACGAAATTCACGTTTCTAATAGCGTCTTTTTCTGAAACACAAATTATTGTATTTTCTACCATCTTTTGCTTGGTATAACCATTATCTTTTAAGTAATTAAAATAATGTTATTTGTTATGCAATCTCTTATTGTTGTCACTCCAATTATGATCTTTAATCAAAGTAATGAAATATATATATATATATATATATATATATATATATATATTTGTGGAACACTATAATTATGAAACACTATAATCTTGAAGAATCGGAAGTTTTTATTGATATTTGTAGATATTTATAGATTTTTTGTTTTATTGTGAGATCTTCTAAATTTTGTTAATATCTTTATTATTATTATTTTAGAAATTTGTAGATCACCACACTCTTCAGATGTTTTAGTAAAGTATCACATTATATACTTATGATTTTTTTTTATGATTATTGTGATAGTGTCAATTGTAATATATTTATTTTATTATTTGTTACATATTCTTTATTGTCCTTATAAATAAATCATATATATAAGAAAATAATAAGATGTATATAGTCGAATTTTTTATTCCGAATTTTTAGTGTATATAACGTATTATATACGTACGTATCCGTATTCGTATTTTTACGTTACCGTATTTTTTTCCCGAATTTTTTAAACATATTTAAAAAAAAAAAAATTGAATTATACTAGTACGTTTTCGTACTCGTACCGTATTTTACTAACTATGGTATTACCCCTCCCATTATGCATTTCTGGATCCGCCCTTGCCTAACTCCAACACATTCTTTTTTGAACAAGGATTTCCATATTTTTTCTGACAAAAAGTTATCAACTCCGTGTTCAACTCTAAAATAGATTCCTAATAAGCGACTACTTCCTTAATTATAAGAAACAATTTGCCATACAAGTATAAGCCTCTGGGAAAATAATTTCTTAATTATAAGAAACAATTTGCCATACAAGTATAAGCCTTTGGGAAAATAATTTCTTAATAAGGAAACAAGCCCGCACATATCAAGGAAAGTGTAACCAGTCTCAAAAGTGATCGTAGCAACATTCTTCTACTGCAAATTTTTTAGAATAGCATTCTTAAAGAATTTGAGACAGTACACAAGAGAGAGATTACTGTTGAGAGAGAGAGCCACCTAGGTATAGAAAAAAGAGGTATCCAAACAAGGAGATTATTTATTAAGAATATGGCACATAGAATCTGAGATTAAAAGTAAACTTTAGTAGAATCAAATATTAAAAGTAAGTTTACTAATTATTGCATGAATTTTTGGTATTAAAAATAAAGTTTATTAATTATTGCTGAATTTAAATGATAATAATGAAGAAAGTCAATAATAGTAAGGGAGCTTACTCGACCCGAGATCGCAACGTGTTTAATATCTGATGATTTTGTTACACTTTTTCTTTAAATACAACGTGTTTGATCATGTTAAAAAAAATAAATAAAAAATAAAAAATAATAAAAATATCTTTGACTTATTTCTAACTGTTAATTTTCTAAATACAACTTGTTTGATCATGTTAAAATAAATAAATAAATAAATAAATATATCTTCGACTTATTTCTAACTGTTAATTGATGTTAAAAGACTTAACATTTTTCTTTTTTTATTTTGTTTAAACTTCCTCCTTTTCTTTTAAAAGAATTTGATCATTTATTTATTTAATATATATATTTGCAAGAATTTATGTTGTTGGTCCAACATGGGTTCTTCCGACATTTGTACACTCCGACAAAAAAGAACTGCAACTGAAAATTCAAACGTTAAACAAATAAAACCAAATCAGCCCAGCTTTTTCCTTAACTTAATTTTTACTGATAATCATACAGATACACATAACTTACAAACACTCCTCAACATCTACAACAATAGAGCACAAGAACATTCACATATCCTCAATCCCATCCCAAACTATTTGCACTTCTCACCAGAGGTATTACAAACCATAAATTAACAACCCCTTGCAATTCCTCATTTATTAGTACAAACACCTAATTGTCAAATTAACCCCATACTATTCCATAATTCATAATTTACCCCGTCATATTTAAAACCAGTTCACAAATACCATCTCTTCCACAATATTCTTCTCCATTTTCAGATCTATTCTCTCCATTCAAAAAATCACGGAAAGATCAGATCTAGAGAACGAGCAAAGTGAGATTAGAGACAATTTTTTAAGAACCATGTTCAAGCGAGACCAAGCAAACGTCTCAGATCTCTACTTGCCGAGTCATCGGCGATCTCCGAGACTTGCTTCTTGTTGAAGAACGAGGGCAAAGGAAGCGAGCTCGGCGACGGCGACATCGCGAACGCCGATCCGGCGTACATGTCGGACCGGCCGCCCGCGGCCAGAGCCGATCTCAGGTCCCCGACCCGGATCTCTCTCCGGACCATTTCCGGATCCGGACCCGACCTCTCGGTACCATATACTATCAAATCCTCACCGTTCATCTTCAGATCAAGCGACTCACCTCTTCTTAATACAGCCACGTGTCCCATCACATGGTGGTGGTGGTGGTTATAATTTTGCTTGAAATCCTCCGACGATCTCTTCGAGATCGACGGCTCTGATGGATAGTTGAATCGCTTCTTCTGACCTTGCCGGAAAACCGGTTTTCTGAAGCTGGGGTTCGGGTTCCCGTTTCCATAGAAGCTCCGCCGGCGATGAAACACCGCCGGAGCTACTCCGATCCGTTCGATCAAACAATCCTGCGGTCGTAATACCTCCGTCCCCATCAATAAATAAATAACTTAAAAACAGGAAGTTGTTATCTGTCAATGATGACGATGAGGTTAGAAAGAGAGAGAAAGAAGAGAGAGAAAATGAACGGAAAATTATGTTTAAATGAGATGTATTTTTCTCCCTCTTCTCTTTTCTGTGTGTTAGAGGAGAAAGAGGATGTAGAAAACGTGTTCTTGGCTCTGTTCTGTGCTTGAGATAGAAAATTATGATATGGGTGAGAAATATATAGTGAGCGAGTCAACAATGGAGAAAGAAGGTGTGGTTAGAGAAGGAAAGAGGATGGAAAGAGAGAGAGAAAGGGGCCGCCTCGTTTGAGTGGCTGACCTAGACTGGGTCGTCCGTGGGGTCCACTTCTTTGCGTTTTTGACGGCGACTGTTATTTCTTCCGTTGGGGCTTGGTCTTTCCGTTCGCCTTTGTTAACGGCGTCACTAAAATGTCGTTTTCATTCTTTAGTTGGAAATTACTTTTGTGGGGACTAAAATGTTGTTTGGTTATGTGGGTATGGTATCATCTTTCGGTGGATTGGGCTTTTCTGATTCTAAAATCACTAGAAGTGTCCACCAAATTCAAGTTTTTCACTAATATTTTGCCACGGCATTAGAAAAGATTAGGAGAATCATACAACTTTAATGACCTAAATAATTTTTTTATTTTTTTTTAAGTATCTAGGATGTAATATAAATGCAATAAACCAAAAATAAAATTTATATTAAACCAATAGCTTGCACATCCATTTAACTCAGTACACCTAAGCCCTCTCTCCTTCAATTAATAGGCACCAAGCATCCCATATTTAAATTTGATTTGCAAAACATTACAAATCTAATTTGTAGAAAAAACAGTGAATGAGGAGGTGGACACTAAATAATGATGTCAAAATTCCACAATGTATTCATAACTTATAAATTTCACAATGTATTCATAACTCAAAATGTGAGTATGAACTGATATTAATGACATCATAATAATATCACTTGGTCTTTTAGTTTCTAAATTATAAATTAAAATTTATGTTAAGATTTTAAACATTTTTTTTTTCTTTGTATAAACTCAATTCACTTTTTCTTCTATAATTATCACTTTCTCTCTTTACTGATGGGTTGATCGACAAGAATTTCTGTTAAGTACAATAAGTTACCATATCAACCTTATGGCAAAACATAACAATTTCGTGGTTTATTTATACTTCTCTTTCTTTGAAAGTGAAAGAGACCAAAATATATATGTATACACTCCATTCATCCCATTTTTTTATATCATTTTCAAACTATTCTTTTATCTATACAGGTGCACTAATTACAAGATATTATTTTATGATAAGTTTGAAATTTTATTCTTATCAATACAAAATATATATATATATATATATATATATATATATATAAAGTATTAAAAACACAACCATAAAAAGTTAAATTCTCCAAACAACCCAAAAATTTTGCGAGGAAGTACTACTAATATATTAGCAACTTAATTATTCAACAAAAATTACAAATTGTGTTAAATTTATCCTAATGTAAGAGTTGCTAATACAGTACTCAATACCATGTCCTAGCTTGAGTTTTTATAAGATTACCCATGAAAAAGTACAAGCAAGAGTAAAAAAAACAAAACATAGAACCCAAGGCCTCTTTCTTAGAAGGCCAATATTGTTATGCTTCACGCCTCATCACAGACTGGCCACTTGCATTACACTTATTTTTTAATCAACTACAGTCAAACCCCACATGCATATTTATACCATATTTCAAGGCCAATAATTAAAGAGTAAAGATGACTCCAACTTATAAAAGCAAGAAATCATTGAACATGACAATATTATAAGGCTAATTTTTTCTCTCTCTATAAATATTTTTATGTGTTATATTATATGTGTGATTGAGTCAAGGATTTGGAACATCTACAACATGCTACTTAAAATGCGACATGTAAACAATTTTTCTTTTTTCGTTTTTTACAATTATATTATTCATATCTTACTTAAATCTTTTCCAAAGATTTTGTCATATACTGTACGTAAGAGGGCGACACTGAGATGCCTAGATTCTTTCTTTCCTTCTTTCTTCTTATTTTTTTAATAAATTTTCTTCACTTTTTTTATTTTTTATTTTTCATGCAAATGAATATTATACATTTATTTTTTTTATTTTACACGGACTTGAACTCTCACCCTTTGCAATGTACATGATGCACAGGATCGGCCCTGAGATTCTCAAAAATTTGTGAGGCCCTATGCGAACTTTCAAATTCGAGGCATTTATATATAAGGTTTCAAATGCAAAAAAAAATTATAAGAGTGCAAAATTTTCATTAAAATGAACTATAAGCACCAAGAATAGCTCAAAATAATTTGACGCCTTAGTCGAATTTTTATATATATATATAAGAGTGTAGATTTTTCATTAAAATGAACGATAAGCACCAAAGGCAGCTCAAAATAATTTGGGGCCTTAGGCGAATTTTTTTAAATTTTATAAAAGTGCGAAATTTTTATTAAAATAAACTAGGAGTCTACCTTAATAATTTGGTGCCTTAGGCAATATATAAAAAGTGACCTTTTAATAATATATTAATATTAGATAATATTTATTTAAAAATCATCATTCTTACTTTTGTGAAATTAAAAATTACTAATTAGATTATTGTATTTAAGTTTGGTTAAAATATATAAATATATTAAATATATATACAAGTAAATTTATAATAATAAAAGTTAATAAAACTAAAAAATAATTAAAGAAAAAGAATATTAGAACCTGATTTAGAAAACTCCAATCCAATACTTTTAAAATTCTTTAATAGGATAAAAATGGGTTCAAATCGAGAGTAATGAGTATTAAGTGGAGGAGAAAAAGAACTATGAATTTCTAATGAGAGAGGAGGGAGACAACTTGTTGAGAGAGAGAAGAGAAAGTATGTGATGAATAAGAAAATAAATAAATGAATAAAAGATAAAAGCAAGAAAAAGGACATAGAAAAAAGAAAAAGAAGTTAGTTAAGAATATATATATTTGAGACCAATATTAAAATTCTGTATGAGGAGTAGAGAGATAGATAATAAAAAATAAAAACAAAAAAATTCTTTTATGGATATAAATATTTAGGGCCTAATATTTCTGTGTTGGTTAGAGTTTAATTCAAAAACGTAAATGAGGAGGAGAGAGAAAAGAGAGAAAATAAAAAGTTATTTTAGTATATATATTTTTGAAGTCCAGTATTAAATTTCTATATTGATTATATTTCTAAAAATATTAGGAAATAATTATAATATAACATATATAAGGAAATTTAAAATTTTGAGGCCCTTCCAAATTGGAGGCTCTAGGCAACCGCCGCCTAGGTCACCTATGCCCAGGGTCGAATCTGTTTTCCTGTTTTACATGGTATTAGAGCCTAATTCCTCAAACCCTCTTCCTTAATTCGTTCCTCTTTTGTTCTTTCTTTTCTCCAACACTTTTTTCAATGGCTAAAACACAAACTGATTTAAGCACTTTGTTTGATAATGAATTGCAAGGATCAACTAATGATTCTCTTTATGTTCATCATTTCAATAGTCCGACCATGGTGTTTGTTGCGCCTCCTGGAGATAATTATGGCACTTGGATTTGTGCCATTACCACAACATTACATGCCAAAAACAAGCTTTATTTTGTGGATAGCACCTTAAAAAAACCGACTACACCCAGTGAACACTCTCAATGGGAAAGATGCAATGATTTAGTTGGTTTGTGGATTCTCAACTCTGTTACAAGTGAGATTCCCAGTAGTATCTTGTATGCTGACAACGGGAGGGAGATTTAGTTGGATCTTTTGGAGCGTTTTTCTCAATTCAATGCTCCACAAATTTATCAGTTGAAATAATTAATTTCCTCTCTTAAAAAAAAAAAAAAAAGACTTGTCTGTTTCGCTTATTTCACAAAGCTCTAATAATTGTGGAATGAGCTTAATTCCCTTGTCACTATCCAACCGTGCACTTATGAGAATGGAAAAGTTATTGTGGAACGACTCTAGCAAGATATAACAATGGAGTTTCTACAGGACCTTCATAACCGATATGCGGTACTTCAGAGTCAAATACTCCTTGTGGAACCTTTTCCAAGCACAACTAAAATTTATTCTGTGATACCCCTTGAATTTCTATGTATAGGTTGGTCGGGCCACGCCCGAAAACCCAGGAATTTTAAAACAATCGAAAGCAGACAAGCATATAATACAAATAGATAAATAAGAAAGAATAATAATAGGCTGAATGGAAAAACTAAATAATGAATAATCATTAATTAATAATAAAACCTCCAAGATTATAATCCCTCAATAACACTAATCTCTAATGTATACAACTTAGGAATTCATAAATCAAGGACCCCTAAAATGAAACTGAAATCTGAAATAAATACTCTGAGTCTAAAGCATTAATAAATACGGTAATGTACTACGTCAACGACTCTAAAGGAATAATGAAGACTATCACTGGTTAGCATGAATCCAAACTCTAATACTGGAGCTAATGAGATCATGAAAAATAAGTGTGTAGACCCACGAGCAAGTTTTATCTACAAAGTCCATGGAAACTGATAAACAAAACAATTCTAACTAAAACTCATGCAATAGCTATATAGTCGATACATACATATACACACTATAGACGTTCACTGAAATATAAGGCAGTCTCAACTAGATATAGGGTATCTTATGAAAAATCGCATACTAAGTGGTCAAGAATCCCCTTTCTACCAAGGCTCACACATCTCCTATATATAGCTACTCATCTCCAGTAATATATGCCCCTGTCCTAAACACTGATACCAAGATCTCAAGCTCGTATCAATGCATACACACACACACACACACACACACACACACACATATATATAAATAAACAATAACATAGTCATATCTAACAATAGCACAACAGAAGTGTGACTAAACTTATTAGTCAGCTCACCCACACGTTCATACATTAAAGTTATATCCCAACAATGGCACAAAAATAAGTGAGACTAAACTTATTAGCTAGCCCACCTATACACATCCTTAGGTGGACTAGCTAATAAGTTAGGTTCATTCTATTTTATTCCATTGTTGGGATATGGCTACGTAACGCGTGTAGTGTGGGTGAGGTGGTTAATAAGTTTAGACTCATTTTATGTTATGTTATTGTCGAGATATAGCTATTACTTATTCTATGTTGTGTCATTGTCGGGATATGGCTATTACTCATTCTGTGTTTTGCCATTATTGGGATATGACTATGATATATATATATGTGT